ATGTGTGAAAAACTTGTTGCATCTTTCCCAATAAGACTCATGGCTGTATTAGATCAAAAGGGTGCTTCTACTAAATACTGAGCAAAGGGTCTGAATACTTAGGACCATGTGATATTTCAGTTTTTCTTTTTTAATAAATCTGCAAAAATGTCAACAATTCTGTGTTTTTCTGTCAATATGGGGTGCTGTGTGTACATTAATGAGGAAAAAAAATTAACTTAAATGATTTTAGCAAATGGCTGCAATATAACAAAGAGTGAAAAATTTAGGGGGTCTGAATACTTTCCGTACCCACTGTGTATATATATATATATATATTTTTTTTTTCAATGAACCTCTCTCTCCCGGCTGTCCTTGTTCCCCCATTTTCTGTCTAAGTTTGATGAAGAAGATTAAACAGCCATTTAAATGCAAAGATGACCAAGTTTTCTTTCTTTTCTATACAGTCGGTAATTACAGTAATGTCTCTCTCTGTCTCTGTAGAAGGTAGAAGATGAGGAGTTGGTCTTAACCCCAGACGGGACACGTGAGTTCCTGAAGTTGGAAGTGCCTCTGAGTGATTCTGGCTCAGCGGGTTTAGGAGTCAGTGTCAAGGGTAATAGGTCAAAGGAGAGCCACGCTGACCTGGGCATCTTCGTCAAGTCTATTATCAATGGAGGAGCAGCATACAAGGTCAGAAATGTATACTCACAAAAATAGCAGAATATTTTCATGTTTCTTGCACAAATTTTTGGGGATTTTTAAAAAAATATATATATTATTTTTATATTCATTTTTTATGTGATATATATATATATATAAAAAAAAATTCTTTTTTTTTCTCCATCATAAAAATACGAATATAAATTTGCAACCATTCATAAGTTTGAGGTTGTTGTTTTTTTTTAAAGCAAGTCTCTAATGCCTCAGCAAGGCTGTATTTATTTGATCAAAAATGCTGTAAAATATTGTGAAATATATTATATATTATTAGAATTTAAAAAACTGTTTCCTTTTAATATATTTAAAAATATAATTCATTCCTGTGATGCAAAGCTGAATTTTTATCAGCCATTGTGTCACACGATCCTTCAGAAATCATTCTAATAGGCAGATTTAGGGCTCAACAAACATTTCTTAATTTTATTGATGTTGAAAACAGTTGCCTAATATTCTTGTGGAAACGGCAATAATTTAATTTCATAATTCCTTGATGAAGAGACATTTCAAGGGAAGCATTTATTTCAAATCGAAACCTTATAAATATCTTCACCGTCACTTTTGATCAATTTACTGCACCCTTGCTGAATAAAAGTATTCTTTAAAAAAATCTTACCCCAAAATATTGAATGGTAGTCTTTGTAATTGATTAATGTTTATAACATTATTATATGAATGTTTGACTTGTTAGCGGTCATTGTCTTATAGTTTTGTTATTAGTAGCACAATGTACATATTAAATGTCTTGAATGGTTGTCATAATCTCATTCTCTGGTGTAGGATGGAAGGCTGCGAGTCAACGATCAGCTAATCGCAGTCAATGGGGAGTCGTTGTTAGGGAAGACAAACCAGGACTCCATGGAAACACTGCGCAAGTCCATGTCAACGGAGGGCAACAAGCGAGGGATGATTCAGCTGATTGTGGCAAGACGAATCAACAAACGCCTTGAGGTAAAGAGAGAAGAATCGAGCTGAGGAAAGTCTGAAAGCTTTGTTCGTTGTTCATGTGAAGGCCTAAATAGTGCTTCATATATTAGTTATAATAGCTCATTAGTATTTTGGGTTGAAATGAAATGGGCTGTTCCATTAAAAACATCTTAATGAAAATGTTTTACTTGATGTGCTGCAGAATATAAGGCTCGCTACATCTCAACTCTCTTTCACGCTTGGTCATATTTTGTCACGACACATTTTAATTCCTCTAGTCTTGCCTTGATTTTAAAAACAGACACAATTTAAAAGCATCCCTACTTCAGCACACATTAAGGTCGACCACGTGCTGTTTTCTTTCTTCCTCTCTGCAGAGAATGTCTGATCCATTTAAAGACCAGGCAGTCAGGTCACTGCATTTCAAAAATGTATCCACAAGGGCTTTCTAGAAGCATTTTCTGTAATTCTGAAGGGAAAACTATGATGGACTTGTGCATTTTTGTGTCACTGGGCTATTAAAGTTGATAAAGATAATGATGGTAATCGTCTTAGCCTGAGCAGGATCATAACTGCACAAGATTTTCCCATCATGCTGAGTGTTCAGTTGTCTGCATCTGAACGAGACCACTGGAGTTGATTCTGACCGCTTTGTCACCACAACACAAGTCAAAGTTGAAATAATAGCCAGTTAAATCTCTCAGGAGTTAAATTTAGAGGTTGTGTGATTTGAATTATGATGTTCCTCTTGTTGTTCTGGTTTCTGTCAGGGTGAGAGCCGATGCAGTCCCCGAGGGTTAGAGCGGACCCTGAGCCCGTCTCCTGATGACCACGAGCGACGGATCTCACACTCGCTTTACGGAATCGAGGGGCTTGATGACAACCTGAGGCCACATGCCAACACAAATAATCGTAAAATGAGTGAGTTGACAACACACTTAAAGGTCTAAATTTGTAATCTCTGTGACAGCCTAAGCTTGTTTGCTGGTTTTAGCCAGTTAAAGCTGGTCTTCCAACCTGACTGGCTGAAACGTGCCCCAAAGCCTTGACATCAATTTCTGTTTTTTTTTTTACTTCTTTTCTTTTTGATAGATCAGTGATATGCATAGCTAAATTTAGAGAAGTATATATAAATATTAAATGTTGTGTTAAATCAAAGTATTTTTGGATATTTTATATATTTCACTATATATATAATAAAGAAATTAATGTTTTTATGTAATGTTTTTAGAAAGATCGATAGATAGATCATTTCTTTAAAATGACACATATGTAGGCATGTATATGTCATTCAGATCAGCTAAACACATTGGGTTTAGGAGTGTTTTTCCCCCCCCCCAAGCAAGTAATTATTTGCATTATTTTGCAAGTTAACCATCACCAGATGCTCTCTACAATCACATTTGAACGCAGCACCAGGTTTCAGAAGTAGAATTGGCATCTCTGGGCTGCAGTGTGTAAGAAACATGTGGTCTAACACAAAACATATGAGTGTTACCCTGGACAAACAGATGCAGAGCCGTGGAGGTTCACTGAGAGCTCTCTGTGTGAGAGAGAGAGCCCAGCCGGAGCTGTTATCCTGCCTGTCAACAACTGAATCCACTCATGGGAAATGACAGTAGCAGGGTGCCACACACAGATGTGCATATGCTTTTCCATTTACTCAATGTATATGCAGAGTCATGCTCATGCCATGCCATCCATTTACACTCACCCAGACAGGCATCCACTTGCTCGCTCTCCACAAGCACTCCTGCAGAGAGATGCAAACTCGCTCTGATCAGAATGTGACTGTGTCCATAAATTTAAAGACCTGTTTTCAAACACAACTCCGCAAATGTGTTAGTAATGGGGTAACGTTGTTGTTTGTGTGCTGATTGGATTTGGATCCGCTTGAGTGAGGCTCTCTATGAACATACAGCAGGTTAATGTCTCATCTTCAGATGCTATGAGGATTTGAATTGTTTTTTTAATAAATTAGCTTATTAGGTATTTGTGTGGTGGAGAGAACTAGAATGCATTAGTCTGGAAGTAAAAATCAAATAAATTTTCTCCATAGGTAAATTACATTAAAAGACATTGGTACTGTGATCTATGAGGTTGTTAATCAATGGTATATTCTTTTATTAAAGCTATTATTTTTTAAACAATCATGTTTAACAATGGAATTTCATAATGGATAAAACTACATTACCCATGATTCTGTAAAGAAATCTCCACCAATCGGTAACAAGCAAATTGTGCCAAAAGAAGTTTATAGTGCCCATATTGCTTTTTGTTTGTTTGTTTGTTTTCATCGTTTTGAATTCAAAAATTTAGTTTTCAATGCTTTATGGGTTTGTAGTTCTTTCCCTTGTTAAAGCCGTAAAGTTCACACTCTTGTATCTTTGTCTTTTTTTCCTTCAAATCCAAGTTTGTAATGTTATGGATTGATTCATGGCTTATTATACTTTAATGAAGACTTTTTAAAAATCTTTATTGGGACAATAAATGGGAAAAATAAGATTACAGTGTTTAATGGAAAAAGATACTCATGAACAATTAACTAGCTAAAGAGCGTCAAGAGAATCATTTGGTTCCAGGATTTCTTTAAAAAAGCACTTTGTTCCCAACCATAGTGCATTTCGCGATCGTTTACATCCCACGCGGTTTCACTTATTGAAGTATGTACCGGAAAAAAGAAAGTGTTTCTCATGGGCTTTATTTTAGACTAGGGTGGGAAATTTTTGAACTGATTAAATACACAAACAAGCTAACAGCACTATTTCTCTCTAAACCGCCTAATTTCTCTCAGTATTTACTGGAAAAAGGGCCAAATTTGTTTGCACAAGATGATATAGAAAAAGCAGCCATGCAAATTGCATCCAGGCTGTATGTAAGAGCAAGCAAGCATGTCCAGATGAGATGCACTACACCATGTCTTTAATTTGTAAATCTCTCAACATGCCGAGTAAGACACAAGTAATGCACTTGTTTCTTGTGATTCTCTCTGACCGGCTTTGCTCAAAATTAGGTGATTTATTTTTGCATGAATTATGCATAACACTGTCATCTTTATTTTTACCATCTGCACATCTTGAAACCCCCACTATGATCAGGATTAGCTCTATTACTTGATTACTGTATAATAATAACTAGGGCTGCACGATAAATCGCATGCAATATTTAATGCGCATCTTGTCAGTAAATGCTGCTCGATGTGAAAGCACGCACGTGATGGAGATTTACCGCTGATTATAGAACCGGCTTTACTGACAAGATGCGCATTAAATATCACATGCGACTTATCGTGCAGCCCTAATAATAACATAATTTGATTGTCCCTACACCCCTTCCTGCTCTTATCTCATTATAGATCATTATCAGCTCTCGCCGACGGTCAACATGCCTCAGGATGACACAGTCATAATTGAAGACGACAGGCCACATGTTCTCCCCACCCAGCTGTCTGACCAATCGTCATCTAGTTCTCACGATGACATGGGTTTCGCTGTGGAGACACCTCCGCCGCCACCCTGGGACCAAGAACTTCCCTACAGGTAAATAAAAGTGGACAGTTTAGAAAGTTTTGTAATTTATTTGTTGAAGTATCTATTGTCTTTGTTTCTATTTTGAGCATCAACTCTCTGACTCTTCTGACGATCTTCCTGCTGTAATTGAGTTCATGGCCTTTTGTTTGTTTGTCAGAGGAGCTTCGGTTATTAGAACAGGGCCAAGGGCTGGACACTGTGCTGTGATTTAATCCCTCTCTCCTTCTCTGTCCTTCCCTCAGCTCTTCCAGTGCTAATGATGAGGGGGCGTTTCAGAGGGAAGGCTTTGGCAGGCAAAGCATGTCTGAGAAACGCACCAAGCAGTATGGAGACGCAAGCCAACTCGACATCATCAAGATCCGCAAGTCCAAGAGCATGGACTTAGGTACTCTAAAGATCAACTGAAACTCAGTGCTTGGTCTTGGATACTGTAAACATCTATTCGAAATACAGTACTTAGACCTAGATAGTCTAAAGATAAACTTGAAGCAGGGTGCTTGGTCCTGTACACTCTAAAGATCAATTTGAAGCACAGTGCTTGGTCTTAAATACTGTGAACATTGACCCAAAACACAGTAGTTAGACCTAGTTACTCTAAAGGTCAGTCTTAAAAATGACCTTTAGTTACATTGTAAGAGCACAGTAAACACAGTAGTTGGACCTAGATACTCTAAAGCAGTGTTTCTCAACCAGGGGTACGCGTACCCCTAGTGGTCCGTCACGTAATTGCATGGGGTCCGTAGAATCATTACAAAAATGTTTTTTTAATTATTATAACCATGAACTGATATATACATGCATGTTTTTTATATATATATCTGTTCTAGATTCAATATAAACACTATGCTTTGGCAATACATTGTAACAATTGTCATGCCAGTAAAGCACAAATTGAATTAAATTGAATTGAGAGAGAGAGAGACAGGTGACAGCGTCAGCAGAACTAAGGGTGTGTGAATACCTGGGTCTGTCTTTCTTCAGGTCAACTCATATAATCATGAAAAAAATCAGTTTGCCATCAGTTGTGAGAAGATGAAAGCGATATCTGTGTCGTTGTATCCTTTCAGTATTAAAGGGGATTTCCCACGACTGTCGTCAGCGCTGTTCAGTACACTGAATCAATGGCATTGTTCTCCATGAAGTGAAATATCAGCTTCACTGTAACCCATGTGATGCGTTGATTGTTGATTGAGCCTTGTAAACTGGCACTCAAAGTAAATTAATGTCAACACCTTGTTTCATTCGTGAATGAATCAGTGTTTTTAAGTGTATCCGGTGAATGAATGTTTTTTTTAATGATGACTCACTCGTAAAGTCAATCCATTGCCGCCACCTGCTGGTGTAACAATGCCTGACAGCCCAGCACTGATACTGAAACATCACTATATAGTCAGTGGCATAAAATGACAATAATATTGTTTCTCGCAATTATTTCTATGGCAATATATCACTAACTTAAAAAAATTGTTAACAAGACCAGCCTATGGACAGGTGGCTTGACAGTGGACCTGACACCAGAAGAGCTAAGAAAAATGGACAACACAACAACATGTCAATATGAGGTTGGTTTGAGATATTATGGGGGGTCCAGTACTCAAAAAAGGTTGAGAACCACTGCTCTAAAGGTCAGTCCCAATCACTGTGGCTGGATCTATTATGCACTAAAGGCCAGTCTTTATTACAGTGCTTGGACTATGATACTGTAAAAATCAGTCCCAAACTCTGTGCTTGGACCAAAACACTGAAGATCTCAAGGGTCAATCTCCTAAATACTCTAAAGGTCAATCTCCAAAACGGGAATTGGACCTAATTACTTAAATTAATTAAAGGTCAACTCAAAGCACATTACTTAGACCCAGATACTCTAAAGGTCTATCCCATAGACTGTATAAAAACATGGACGCAGTGTTCGTGACGTCACCCGTAGGGTTCCGAAGATCGTTTTTGAAGCTCAAAAGTGGGCAGAGGCGGCTGTCGCCATCTTGGCAGCGCGTCACTCTGGGATAATTGAAGATGGGCAAAGAGGTGGGAGCTGGTTGTTGAAACCACACCCACCTAGCTCGATGGTGGTGACAGCAGCAGCAATCCACCTGTCACTCAAGTGGCCACGCCCTTAATTATGCAGAACTTTAAGGCTTAATATAATTTAAACGGATGAGTTATAAAAAAAAAATCACCCCCCTCACAGTTGTCATGAAGGGCAAAAGTAGCTATATAGACCAAAATAATTTTTTGAACCAGGCTGTAAACATGTTTTTTTTTTTGCTGTAAAGTTAGGCATTTTAACATGGGGAGTCTATGGAATTGACTCCCTTTTGCAGCCAGTCTCTAGCGGCCAGTTGACGAATTACATTTTAAGTCACTTCCTTGTCGGCTTCAGAGAGAGAGCGGGAGGTTGCCGCTCGGTCTATCCCAAACACATTGCTTTGACTTCAGTACTTGTAAAGGTCAATCTCAAAAACATTAATTGGACCTAAATACTCTAAAGATCAGTCCCAAACACACAGCTTGGACCTAGATACTCTAAAGGTCAGTCCCAGTAAATAAATTCCCACCTCGAAATCTAATCCATTGCTCAAGTTACTTTCCTCTCTTTATAAGAGCACTTCTCAGAATGCCTCTCATTCTGGGCATCACCATTCACCACTCCACCGTCACTAAGTCTGAACTGGTCTCCCTTGTGCATGTGCTTTCTAATCTGAACATTGTTTCCACTCATCCAATTCTGCTGGATGTTCCTCACTTACCGCTTTACCACTGAAATGGTGCCAGAGTGCAGACAAGGTATCCTGCAACAGCAGCAGCAATCCACCTGTCACTCAAGTGGCCACGCCCTTAATTATGCAGAACTTTAAGGCTTAATATAATTTAAACGGATGAGTTATAAAAAAAAAATCACCCCCCTCACAGTTGTCATGAAGGGCAAAAGTAGCTATATAGACCAAAATAATTTTTTGAACCAGGCTGTAAACATGTTTTTTTTTTTGCTGTAAAGTTAGGCATTTTAACATGGGGAGTCTATGGAATTGACTCCCTTTTGCAGCCAGTCTCTAGCGGCCAGTTGACGAATTACATTTTAAGTCACTTCCTTGTCGGCTTCAGAGAGAGAGCGGGAGGTTGCCGCTCGGTCTATCCCAAACACATTGCTTTGACTTCAGTACTTGTAAAGGTCAATCTCAAAAACATTAATTGGACCTAAATACTCTAAAGATCAGTCCCAAACACACAGCTTGGACCTAGATACTCTAAAGGTCAGTCCCAGTAAATAAATTCCCACCTCGAAATCTAATCCATTGCTCAAGTTACTTTCCTCTCTTTATAAGAGCACTTCTCAGAATGCCTCTCATTCTGGGCATCACCATTCACCACTCCACCGTCACTAAGTCTGAACTGGTCTCCCTTGTGCATGTGCTTTCTAATCTGAACATTGTTTCCACTCATCCAATTCTGCTGGATGTTCCTCACTTACCGCTTTACCACTGAAATGGTGCCAGAGTGCAGACAAGGTATCCTGCAGAACCTTCTGCAGATCTGCTCAGTGTTTCCACTGACTCTGGGCCAGTAGAGCCAAACAACGTGTTTGTTTTATTTGGAGTTTTTTACTCATGTGGGCCTTCTTCACCACTTCTTTGCATATTATTTCATTTGACAGTTTTCTAATTTGAATATAGAATTCGAATATAGATTTCTAGACCACTGCTGAATGGCTTTGTTGTAGGTCATTTTTCTAGCTATAGTTAACACTATCTAGATATCTAGCTTGAATTGTTGTTTTAAAAGCTTTGTATCAATTACATTTTATAATTTCGGTTTCTGATATGAGTAATTCTTGCTTATGAGATCAGCAAGTTAAAGGGGATGAAGTATGAATCACATTTTTCCCAACATGTGGAATGAGGTCAGTTTGGGCACCTGCATGGTCTCAGTGGAAAAGTGATAACTCTGAATCAGCAGAATCACTGTGGGAACACCGTTTTGTTAATGAGCACTGACTGATTGTTTCTGTCGTCTGATTTGTTGATGTTGAAACGTGCCTGGTTGCTTGCTGCATGTTGAATGGTCATACTAACCGTCCTGTCAATGTATGTGTATGTCTGTGTGCCCTTCACACAGTGGCTGATGAGATTAACCTCACACACTACACAGAAAACCACCCAGGTAAGCATGACCACTCCTGCACTTCTATTTCTGCACACACACTCACTTCTATTGTACACTGCAGGATTAGTTGCCTGTTTTTCTTCTGTGTTGAGATAATTTGTTCCTACTGTTTCATCGTTGATTACTTTCCTAGGCCCGTTTGTCACCTCTCATAAACAGCACATTTCGGCACCTATAAAAAGAGGTTACAGCATTCATACTCTGCAGTTTAGCCAATGTAGTGATCCAGAAATCACTTGTGTATTTTATTGATATTAATGTAAATAAGAAGTCTATTTTGCTCAAAAGGCTTAATTTATTTGATTAAAAACAACTTGTCCAAAAAATTTGCAATTCTCAATTTAAGTCCCAGAATGCATTTTTTTATCTTACTGATCTCAATCTTTTGAAATAGTGTAGTGTACAGGTATATAGACAGTAGACAACAGTGCATCTCACTAGTATTCTGACTTCCTGTACTAATATAAAAAAAAAATGGGATTGAAATCTAATCATTAATATTGATAGGCTGTGAGTTTGTGTGCTCTGTGGAGTGACAATGTTCCTGAGCTCTAGGCAGAATGGACAATCACATCCAAGACACGGAGGAAAAGTTTGCGTTTCCATGAAGTTTAGTAGAGAGATACGAGAAGACTGGAGGGGAGAGAAGGCAAGAACACAGCTTATTTGAAGGTTTTTGAATCTGTCAGCAATGGATACATCATTTTTGAAAACGTCGAATATTTTAGGCAGTGGAGTGTTTTAATGGCTGTCATCTGCCTCACTGAGCCAAAGATACCTGCTTCATATTAATGAGCTCTACATATTAATGAGCTCCGCAGAATATCAGAACTCACTGGCATACAAAGGTATTGAAACTCCTTTCAGCTTTCTCGCACACACTTCAGTCCTCGCACATGTCAGCGGAACATTAATGAATTGATATGCTTGATAAAACAAAGATTTGCAGAGAAGAGAAGACTTTTCGCACTCACTGCTTTGCAGAGTTGCAAAACAGTGATTAGTTTGTTAAATGAATTAGAATAGATGGATTAAGAGCTTTAATATTGGTTTAATTAGAGCAGACAGGTTTAAGAGCTTTTTTCAGAAGCATAATGCCCATTCAAATGAAAGGGACACGTGACTAGTGTTTTGAACTAAGTAGCTTTTGAATGCAAGTTCCAAAAAATATATTTTTTTATTGTTTTTGAGTTTTTCAATTGTTGTCGAAACAGTTCATTGAGAAGAATGTGCTATCACACACCATCAACTTGTGACGTGTGTGTGTGTGTGTTGAAGGTTCGGGAAGTACCGTAAGGACGAGCGTATGGATGGTCCAAAGTGGAAGGCAGAGGAAACTCATGCATCGGAGGAAGAGACGCACAGAATGAGACAAGAACAAGAGAGGTACATACACGCATACAGAGTCAGAGCTAATCTTAACTATCATCAGCATCTAATCAGAGGCATTTCCTGACACTTTACCTGCCAGCCGTACCCACTTCCTCAACCCTTCTTCCTCAGTGATTGTTTCAGTCCTGTTGTTTGTGTCATCATTGTTTTGATAAAGCATTATGATGCTTTCATATTTTGTGCGTGTTTGCATACTAATCCTTTAGCTAAAGCCTAATATGTTTAAGTCAATTTAAGTTAATCGTGTGAATGTTCGCCTGCAGGTGTGTGTGTGTTCATGTTGTTTTATTAATAATGCCATGTAAACCCCCTCCCGTTTTCCCTTCTGTCCTGTGAGACCCTGCTGAGAAATCCCCACTCTTTCGATCTCTTTCTTAATCTCTCTCGTATACACTCATTTATCATCTTGCTTTTGATGGCCGTTAGAAAGGTGTTTAAGTAAGTTTTTTAGGTCCTTTGTGAAGAAACTTCTGAATTTTGGTTTAAAGAGAGTTCACAAAAAAATAATAATGACATTTTGGTGTCATTTACTAACCCTCACGTCATTTCCAATGCTATGAGACTGACTTCTGTGGAACACAAAAAATAATGTTTTTGTCTATACAATGACAAAATCAATGGGGTCTAAAACAACATTAGGCCCCATTGACACACAAAAAAAAATCTAAATATCTTTGTGTTTCTCATAGAAAGACAAGAAAGACTACAACAGAAACTTTATATGTATGTATGTATGTGGTGTGTGTGTATATATGTATGTATGTATATATACACACACTTATTTTCTATGTTATTTATTTAATATACAAATATGCATATTTATATATAAATATGTTTTGGTAAATTTACATTGTATATATTTTTGCATGCAGTGTTGCCAAAGCATCAGTAAACACAAAAAAGTGACAAAAAATAAAAAAATAAGATGTTAGGAATGCTAATAAAAATAATGTAATATTAATAACATTAACTTTAGAATTAGCATTATTATTAATATACATATATGCATATTTATATATGAATGTTTAGTTATATTGTATATATTATTGAATACAGTGTTGCCAAAGCATCAGTAAAAAAGAATTATAAAAATGCCAGAAATGCTAATAAAAATAATTGAATATTATTATACTATAATATAATTATAATATAATTATACATTATAACAAGCAGGTGTTTAGGTTAGTACCAAATTGAACTAAACTGATCTTCATTAAATCATGTTTTCCATGCCATACATCAAGACATTTCTTCATTTTTAGTATTTTGTTCATTCTAATCTGTCCATTATTACTTGTTATTCAGTTGTTTTTTAACTCGTTTATCTGTTTTTTATTATTTTTAATCCGTGTGTTTCGTCATTTCTTTTTTTAACTTGTGTCTATGTAGGATCCAGGCTAAAACGCGAGAGATTCGTCAGCGTCAGGCCAGAGAGCGGGACTATGCTGAGATCCAGGACTTCAGTCGGTCCACCCTGACCTCACTTCCTCCTGAGGAGCCCCCGTACGCTGGCATCGGCTCGCTGGAACACGGCGGGTACCATCGGATTCACACGCCTCCGGACTCACCATACACACATAAACAGAACGCCCACAATGGACACCCCTCTACATCAGACAGGTATTTACTGTAACGGCAGTCGTTTCTAAATATCATAATCCTTCCGCCTCCTGAGCTATTAATGAGTTAACCTTCAATTCTGAAGTCAAGATGCTCTTCTAAACGCTCTCCTTGAGCTGTATAAAGTATTGAAAGCATTCTCGAAGGCTTTCATAAAACCCAGTTTGTGAGAATGTTTTGTTTGGGTTGTCAGAGTTGCATGTTTTCTCGAGACTAAAACAAACACAGGCAGAGAGAGACCGGAAGGCCACTTCCTGTAAGAACCCTCAGAACAGGACATGGGTGTCATTCCAGTGAGATGCAGAGAATGAAACTGTGGGAATTATCCTTGCATATCTGCATGGGAAGTGGATCTTAAAGGAGGCACAATGTGTGGGTGGGTGTGTTTTTATGGGCTTTAGAGGGAAACACGATGTAGGAGTGTGTGTGTGTGATGCGTTATACAAACAGTATAGCATAGTGATCTTATAGCTTCCCAATCAGCTTTATTGCAAGCTGGGTTGTTGAATACAGCATAATGTTTCTTTTTCAGATTTAGTTTTTTGCATCAGCATTATGCACACCATATTTTTTTATTTTAATTAAAAGATTTTTGACACATTTCTAAAACTTTTTTACTAGTTAAGGCTCTTGTAAGTTTTTTCTTATTCTCATTTTCACTTTGCCCCAAATGAAAGCGGACACATTCACAAAACAGTCATATTTTGGCAAGTTAAAGACCAAGTCCTTTTTCTTGTGTAAACTTGTATTTGAAATGCACAGTTGGGTCCAGAACATGAGCAATCTAGAGGCATCAGTTAGTCTCTGAATGCTCCGAACAATTCCTGACATCAGTTGTGAAAGAGGTTATAGTGGAAATCCAACAATAATAGTCATTTTTACAATGTCACTGCTTTAGCTGGACACACACAAACACACAGAGTATCTGACCTAGAAATCAGAGTGTTCTAGCATTCTGGCTGTCAGCTGCAGCATGGTTTAAGTCCCTCAGTGCAGAACGTTTAAGTAAATGAGAAATATATCTGTTCAGTCAGCAGAACTACTTTTTGAAGCTTGATAAAAAGGGCTTATACACACACACCAACCCGGTTCAAGTCCAGCTGAGGTATAATGATGATATTAAGATGTGAAGTAAGGAGTCTTGGGAGACATGTTTGGAAGGATTCTCTCTCTCTTTATATGTGTATATATAATATGAATGTGTGTGTATATTGATGTTTTTGCACTAATGTCTGCTGTTTATTTATTTATTTACTTTTACGTTCATAAATGTATGTGTGTGTATACATACATGCACACACACACATACAAAATTCCCAATGCTTCAATATGCACAAAAAAAATCATATTTATATAGGAATGTATGCATATGTTTAAAAGTGTGGCTGATGTCTGAGGTATATGATGTCTGATGTCTCTCTCTCCGGGGTCTCTGTCCACCCACCAGGCTAGCTGTGGCTTTGTTAGAACGTGTGTGTTTGTGATCTTTGAGTCTGTAATCTGTTTAATCTGTGTTCTTGTGATCAGTTGATATGGGTTTTTTTTCTTGAATTGCTCAGAGAATTTCATTGTTAATGGAAGGATCAGAGAAATGTAATAGATCAGAGAAAAAAGAGAGATGTGTGTGTGTGTGTGAGAGAGAGAGAGAGAGGCGGGCAGTTTAAATGAATTAAACCCAATCTCTCTTATTCATTTCCACTCATGACCCCTCCTCTCTGAGCTGGGATTTGATTCTCTCAGGTTTTATTAAATTGACTGCTTAGATTTGAGTCGGAGAGTGACAACGAGCACACATGCACTGTTTCTGCATGTTTTTTTTTCTCCGTTGTCGTTATGAGAGATATCTGAGCCCTTCCTGTTCATATCGAAGCTGATGACCATGGGGCCGCTATCCGTGTCTCTGGTCTCCCACTGCAGCAATGGAGCACCTGTGTAATCAACATTCCTCCTTCCTCCTGACAAACTAGTTGTGTCGTGTGTGTGTGTGTGCACATTCTTGCTGAGTTGACTATGAGCCCTGTAGGGAATTTTAAAGAATGAACATTGCAGAGGCCAATTAAAGCAGCCAAACGCACACAGAGGGTAAACATCTGACTAATCCCACAGCATTCATGCTGAGAGCTCACACACACACACGCATACACACACAAGTTTAAGCTCATTATCAGCATTCCCTGGCACGCTGCGTGGAAAAAAAGCGCGGATTAAGAAAAACCAAAGCATCAGAAACAAACTCGCAGCTTACAGATGGATAAAGAGAGTGTGACACCACTGCTAATTAAAAGAAATAAATGAGTAAAGAGGAAAGCAAAGTGTGCTAGCAGAATTCAGATGTGCCACTGTAAGGAAAAGGGCTGCATCTGACTGAGTGATTTCAGTTACAAACGACAGATATGCATTTAGTTTTATCTTTTTAGTATTTATGTTGAGTGATAATGTTAAAGTTTCTTCCAATGAAATCACTTAGAATTTAGTTTAACAGAGCCATTGTTGTTTCCCCTCTGATCTTTAGCTGTTTGTGTTGAGAAAACCTTAAGACCTTTTGCTTTTGATTGGCTGTCCTCCATGTGTTGGCCTAGTTCGGTGTATTCCAAACAAAAATTCAAATATTGTCGTCATTTGCTCACTCTCATGTCATTCCGAATTTGGATGAGTTTCTTCCTCTGTGGAACATGAAAGTTGGTATTTTGAAGAACAATGTTGGAGTCCAGTGAACACTGACTGAGGAAATAAATGATGACAGAATTTCATTTTTGAGTAAAAATATTTAAATAATTGAGCATTTGCCAAATTAATTCTAAGGTTCTGAATAACTGAATAGAGTACAGAAAGTCTTTGTTTGCCTGTCACTTTATGGTGCTTCATTAAATCCTGTATAGTAATATTATTATAGAATTAGCTAGATTTATCATGCATTATGTGTTTCTGAGGCGAAAATAGACTGAAACTCTACTGTGAAACAGGCCTAAGTTTCAATGCTTGCTCTGGGTGGAGCTTGTATTGCGAATTTTATAGTACATTAAAATCTTAGGTCAAAAGAGCAAAAAAAAAACAACAACTATTTTTGATGCTACACGCGTCTTTCAGGTTTAAATCAGAAGTCATTTTATCCATTATCATAGCACAGCTGATATTCCAGACCCCGCGGCTCATCCACACACAGCACACATGGTTTGTTTTGGAAAGATCCACTGAGGGGTCAGTGTGTTTGTTGTAGCTGGTGGTCTGTGGTTTCAGCCACTGAGAGTTTGTGTCTGATCGTGGCCTAATGTTTATAAATGATTAGCAGTGGGGTGACGTTAATGAAGCCCCACAGCGCTGGTGGTTGAACCATCTCTCATTTGGGCCAAGTTATGCTCTAATGATGAATGGATCAAAAGACATTCAACCCAATATAGAGCTTCATAACCCTTTTCATGTTGATTTATTTCTGAGACAATTACTCAGATGTTTTCTCAGTAATTTTCTCTCCCTCTCCCTTTCTTTCTTGTTCTGGCTAGTCAATGAATGCTCATTTAAAGGAATACTTCAGCCAAAAATGAATATTCTGTCATCATAGTTTATTACCCTCCAAACTCGTATTCTTCTGTGGAACACAAAAGAAAGAATCATCTTTCATGCAAAACTCCATCTGTGTGCTTGTGTGTCTGTTATTAATGAAAATATTTTGTAGATTAACAGTGAGAATTGACACAAACAGAAGAAACCTTCCTCTTTCGTTCTGTGAACTCAAACAGGCCTCCCATAATGTAACTAAACCCAGTATTTGCAATATTATATAATGGATTTAATATGTCACAACTTCTGATTAATAATGAGGCCACACATGCATACGACCAACCGAGTATAGTGATAAACAGACATTAGCGGATAATAACCATCTGTTAAAAGCTGAATCCTCCACTGAGACATCAGATTGTGTATTTTGTGTAATGTGACATATGGTTTCAGATCTTCTCGGCTTTGTATGCTTGACTTTTACTCGCTGGAGACGTGATGTCAAATAGAGGTCGAAAGTTCAGAACTGAGTCAGGGTGACCCAAAAACTAACGTTACCGAGTTCCCAGACCTCCTCGATCACCACTATGCCTCTAATTGCTTCTGGAACTGTCTTTGTGGCTTTTATTAGAAAGCAATTGCTAAAGGACATCTGTGGCCCTGTTTACACCTGGTAGCAAAGTGCTATTTTTGTCTTCCCTGTTATTATCTCTAAATTATTTCTCACAAATATAATTTTAATTTAACATCAGCTGATGAGTGTTTTCTGACGGTTCAAACAGATGTTAATACCAGGTGTAAACATGGCCTTAGAGGGATGCTTTGCAGTGTTTCTGGAATAGGAGTGGGTTTGTTGACTTAAATATTTTTATTAGAAACTAGAGAATGATTATTGGAGAAAGGTAGGATCGGTACATGTTGCAGGTTGGACTCAACCTGTAACAACCACATTTGTACCATGGCTTAATGTGTTTGGTATGTGAATCACCGTGCCACTGCTCTGACAGGGTTTGGAGTTTTTCTTTTCTTGTGTGCAATGCTATCGATACAATGCTAGACTCTGTTTGGTGTTTATCTATGAGTGAATTCACCTGTGAATCTGCTGCATGTGAAATGATGGTTTGTTAGCTGTTTCTATGTGTGTGTGAATTGAAGAGTTCTGCTGAATTGAGTGGATGCCCTTTCTCTGACCCCTCAACAAGATGACCTACTTTTCTGACAGAACATTGTTCTTCTGTCGGGGACGCGCCTCTCCTCTCCGTTTTTTTTTTCTCTTTTTCTTTCAGGATACAGTTTCCCTATATAAGTAGGCTGCTTACTCTCTGTGTCTGTGTCTGTGTCTGTGTCTGTGTGTGTGTGTGTGTAGCATTCTACAATTAAGGATCAAGTTTCTTCTCATCTTTCTTATTCTATCTAGGGTGTCAAGTTCGACCATTTGCAAAGTAGATCTTTCGAAACACACCAGGTTTGAACTTATGGAAGAATTAGTAGTGAGCTGCCTT